CTTGTGTATCGTAACCGGCAATAGCATTGTGGCTCTTTGTTGATGACCAAGAATTGTCTTTGGGAAATTCTGTATGCAAAGCAGTGACACAACAGCCTTTCTCCAGATTCTCTGATTGTTTCCTGTGCTATTTAACTACTGTAGGACAAACCAAATTCTAACCCTAATAGTCCTTTTCAACTTCCTTTTCTGGACTGCTTTCTCATCAACACTTTTGTATAGCATTCCTATCTCTATCTTCCAGTTTGCAAAAAAAAAAAAGGCCATTTGATGAGGATAATTTGAGCAATAATGGCAGATAGAGGAGCCACACAACAAACTGTCCTTTTTCCATTTTCACAATACGATATATTGAGAATCCTTTGTATATGGTCCCTAAGTTCTTTGTAAATGATCATATGAAAGTCTCCTGCTGAGGCAGAACTTTCATCCATTGCCCCCAATCCTTAATGTCATGGATGGACTCCTTCTGACAACACTTTTCCCAGCCCAAATCTGAAGAGGGAGGAGGAATTCTCATGTGACATACAGCCTCTTTTCCCTGGCTGAGGCTCAGCCTTTGCCTCCTATGCTATTTAGCTGAGGAATCTAAATGAAAGAACTTAACCCTTCCATTACAATTGTCTTCTCATTGCAGCATCACCTTATTATGTCATGACCTCTATATGTACTACAACTTTGCAAAAGTGCAGTGTCTATGAAGATGACTTCATATGTCTATGAAGGAAGGGGAGGAGAGAAAAGCTGAACAAGGAATTATCTTTCTTCTTCGTTTCATCCAACTACAGTATGCTGGGTAGCAATAGGGTGGAAGGATGAAGTGCAATTCTATACAATTTTGATGTAGAGGGAGAAAGAGAAAACTCTTAAATAAAAAGCTTACTGGTTTGTGTCCATTAACAAAAAAAATCACTAAATATTATACTGTACCTCTGGCAAAAAGCTTTGATGTCTCCACTGAGGTCCAGTTTCTTTTTCTTTTTTTTTTGTGAAGAGATTTTTATAACTTTTTCAATTCTGAACAAGGACTCAAGCTTCATGGGGGAGCATTTTCTTTCTCAAAATGATGAGCGCATACAATGGTGGGAACAAGCACACCTGTGGGAAGGAGGCAGGGATAATTTCTAGTTTGTGGCACCCCAAGGAAGAAACATTAACGCAAAAACAAGGCTCTTTGGGGAATTTGTTAACCACGGCTAGAACATTCAACAACAATAACAAGTGATGTAAGATTGGGTTGAAAAGTTGATGTCAAGCACAGATTTCTGAAGGGAAAAATGTCGTCAATCTGGTCAAAAAAGAAACATAAAACTGTATCTGTATTGGTCAGACCTCCAAAAATCTACTTCATGGAGGCATCTGAGACTGATTCTGTGATGACCCAGGGTGGGTTACAAAACAAACACAGTCACAGAAAACAGGTGAAGCCCCTTCTATTCCTTCACTTTGCTTCCAAGCTCTGAATATTCTTGACAGAAACCAAAAAACTCCCACACAAACAGTTACAAGAAGAAAGGAAAAAGCAACACAAACCAGGCAAGATAAGGGCTGGTGGGTGTCCACAGACAACACACACTGGGAAGGATACCAAACTCAGAGAAGAATCATAAACTAGAGATATTTCCACACTTTGTTTCCAGCATTTGCCCATACGCAGGTCCAAACTCTTATTCAGTTGTCACAGCTGCAGCCCATGAAGAGGATCAAGGCCCTCTCCTCCCAAGTAGACCACATCTCTCCCTTAACCTCTCCTCCCTGCATGCCCAAGGATGGAGAGGGGATGGGCCTGGGACCTCCTCTGACTGCTCAGCCGGCCTCTGCCCTTCCCCACCCTCCTCCGCAACCTCCAGAGCCACACTTCCACTCCCTGTCGGCTGTTCTTCCTCTCCCTCAGAGTCAGTCTCCATCAGGGGCATGACAGGTTCAAGTGCATTATATTAACATCTGTTTACCACTCCTGTATTGAAGATATGTCAGGATTAGGATTCATTTCCCCCACCCTGATGGTCCTCATGAACATCTTGTCACGTGTAAGCTTTTTAGAGCTCAGTTTTCCATATATTAATTGGGCAAATGCAATCACATACAACCCTGTGGCTTCAGTGCATTTTTTTTCCTGGTCATTGCTATGCCATTGTTATGCCTCCCAAGAAAAAAGCCAATGTTTTATTGCATTAAGTCTATTAAACAGATTTCATCATTGCTTACCATTTAATCCTAGCTTCTTCTGATTTGCTATTGCTTTTATGTTGCTTAGAATCATGACTGTACGTTCTTGGTTGCAGAGGAAAGAAGGCAAGGCAAAGGAAAGGAAAGGGAAGGAAAGGAAAGGGAAAAAATTAGTTCATGAAGGGCCAAACTAGTTGCTTTATGTTTAAGCAAAAATGCCCCATAGCAATTGCATTACTGGCAAACAAGCAGTCTTTTTTCCTGATCTTTTTTATTCAGGCACTTAAAGCATATAGATTGAAGGTGATTCAAGGCAGGTTCAGCCCATGAGTTGCTTTTCCAGGTATACCTGTTTTTGTGATTGATCAATTTTCTACTATGAACATTAGGCCATGTAGACAGAGGCTAATTGAATAAATTAATATGGAAAAACAATTCTAAAGCTCATTCCTCTCCCTTTGTTTTGCTGTTTTCAGGCTAAATCAGGAGGATCTAGTTCCAGTAAGTGGAATTCAACTTCCATGGAGTTTTCTTTAGCAAGATTTATTGAGTTGAATGGGATAGAGTTACAAGAATTCTAGCAACTGAAAAGTTTCCAGTTTGTAATCAATATATCATCATATATATTTTTAGGATAGAGACTTTCTGATTTTCTCTCTAATAACTTCTCTATAATTCAGCATGTTTCTCCATTGATAACAGGCAACATAAGAATCATCTGAACTTTCATCAGGCTAAGAGCCAGTTCTTACAAACCGCTGAGGCCCTACGATTGGAAACCCAATCAAATCCTTTCAGCATACTCACCTCCGGAGTAATGTTTTAAGTAAGAAGTAATTGGTCAAGATAAGCGTAATGTTTTGGTAATGCCATTGTTAGAAAATAAATGACACAGCACACAATCAATTTTAATAAAAAGGTAACGGAAAATGTTGCCAATTAGAAAGAATGCCAGGCAAAAATTGTTATAGAAATGAAGATTAATCTAATGTGAAGTTTAGAAGCAGCTATAAAAGGAAGTCAGAGGCTGCCTCATAGTCATCAATTTCAAAGAATGACTGCAGGAAAGTAAAATTATAACTTAGGGGAGATTATATCTCTCTCCTGGGGAATATTGATCTTGCAGCTCTGCTAAGTAGGAATTTAACAAAGTATACTCCATCAAATTTGTATTACATTGTACCGTACTATGGGAAAATTGGAGTATGTAAAAAATACTGAAGAGAAAAGTTACCTGCTCTAACATATGTCAGTGAAACATGGACACTAACTTCATAATCGATACAAAAGCTATATTTGGCTCAAAGAGCCATGAAAAGATACATGCTGGGCATTACAAGACAAGTTAGAAAGACCTGCACAGGGATTAGAGAACAAATGAAAGTATAGATATCATCAAGAGAGTAGAAGAATTGAAATGGAAATGGGCTGATCACATAGCCAGAAGAATTGATGGCAGGTGGACCAAGGCAGTCATAGAATGGATCCCACTTGATAAAAACCATCCACAAAAGAGACCTAAAACAGGATGGATCAATGACATCAGCAAGTATTGTGGGCACAATTGGCAAAAGAAAGCTCAGGACCATGTTGCTTGGAAACATGCAACCTGCAGTGGATAGACAATGGCTAAAATGATGAAAGAATACTGGATATATAAAGAAATTAAGCAATGTGTTACTGTCTCTTCTACTCACGATAAGCATGGAAAAAGATATATTCATTCTAAAACAAACAGTCCAGTTACTTTATTTTAAAGGCAATTTGTTTCATTTTAATATGTTATCAGGAACATAACAGATACCTTTGTGGTCTCAATTAAAATTGGGTCTAAATATGGAACTATCCAAGGTCCTGAAAACCTGACCTATTAGACATCCCTCTGCCTTCCATAACTCCTTTCAGGTGCTTGCTTATGATCACCTCAGGAGGGTAAGATCTATCATTCACAGAACATCTAGAAATATTTAGCTTGTAAAATGGAAGAAAATGAGAACTGCCCTTAAAAATCAGTGGAAACATTTGAGTGGGTTTATTACTCCAACATTTTGAAAAAAGCCCAATGAAAACTATGCTCAGTGAAATAAATGCTGATTAAATTTTCAGGAATAAAAACTTGAAAGACCCGAAGAGAGGACAGAACCGACGAATGAAATTCAGAGTTGAAGTGTTTAGTGTAACATTTTCTTGTAATGTAATTATTTTCCATCTAGTGGAAACTATCAGTCTGAGAGCCAAATAAGATATTCAAAACTAGCAACATTTCTGTATATCTGAAAGATTTCCCAAATCTGCTAAATTATTATAATCTTGTTTGGAGGAGAGATGTGAAGGACACCGTTTTTCTTGACTTCACAGAAACATGCCGTAAAATCCATTTGAAGCATGCAAGTGATGAATTTAAGCCAATCTTTATGCCGGCTGATGATAATAGAATTTGAAATATTAGATCTACAGGAAACCATCTGATGTTTTAATAATTAAAAGAGACATATAGACAAATAACGAGGAGAATGGTTTGGATAATTTTCCAATATTAGATTTACAAAAGAGACTTTTTGACTTTTTGCAAGACTTGGTAAGAAAAGACAAGGGAAAAAAAGAAAAGAAATTGAAAACTTTTAGGACATTATTTGAAGGGATTGAACAATGAGGTTTTAAGGATTTGTCTATAGATAGGACATAGAGGGAAGAGATTGTTGTATTTTAAGTGAAAATAATTTGTTAATATTGTTTACACTTGTTGAGACAAGGGAGAAGTTACTTTATATTTGTTTTTTCTTTATATTATTTTTTCTTTCACATTTTCTTCTTTTTTCTTCTTTATATTTTTTCCTCTTTATCTTTTATAACTACATATCCCTACAACTGTAATATTCAATAAAATTATTGGGAAAAAGAGGACACAATGTTGGGAAAAGCTGCAATAAGTAATCCCTGTCAACTATAAAGGATGCTTGTCAGGGAATGACTGGCAGTAACAATTAATCCTTGAGCTTCTATCCAGCAGTCTACTTAGCATGGGATATAATTGGGCCAAAACACTCATTAAACAGCATATGGCAAACATAACAGCACCAACTGGATCTAGCCAGGACACAGTCTTTGATGCCAGTGAATCCCAACAGGTACTCTGCCTTCTTTATCTCACTAATCTCAAAATACCTAACACCAAAGGGCCTTTACTATGACACAATGCCATGCCCCTCAATAGTGGGTTCCTATCTTGGTCGCTACTGGTTCGGCGGGTGATTGCATGTGCGCTCCTAACATGTGTGTGTGCACGCCCCTAACTCACCAATCACCTGAGAGGATGAAGAAACAAAAAGCTAGGAGTGAGCCTCCCACCCACCCATGCACTTGTCACTTCTTTTATCCTCTCAGCTGATCATCAGAGTGGGTTTTTTTACTACCAGTTCAGCCAAACCAGGCCAAACCAGTAGCATACTACCACTGATGTCCCATCCCTCCCCTCAACTTCCCTTGAAAGCTAATGCAGGAAAATTCCCTAGGGGGAGGTCAATGGTCCTGTGACTCTGGACACACAGAAACAAAAAACTGTGCTTCTCCAGTGCCGGTATTAGAGGGACATTCATACTAGCCTGATAGGTGTATTAATACCCAGGATAAACAGCCCAATTTTACCCCTCCTGCTGCTTTAAGATACTAATTCTGCTACAACACATAATGTAGAGGTGGTATTCAGCTGGTTCTGACCAGTTCTGGAGAACCAGTACTGGAAATTTTGAGTAGTAGCCACATCCACCAAGCCACTCCCACAGAACCGGTAGTAAAAAAATTTGAATCCCACCACTGATATAATGTCATCATGTTCTGCACAACAGAGCATAAAATTTATCAGACGATGACTTGTCCCATAAATTATTCTTAATTAAGATAGATAGATAGATAACCTTTATAATAATTTTTTTACTGTGGGCACACTGGCTGACATGAAAAATGAAATTCTATTGTCTGCTCTCAAAAGTACATCTATCTATCTATCTATCTATCTAGATATCTATCTAGATATAGATATATATCATGGTCAATCTTGAATACATGGCGGAGTTATGAGTTCTCAAGGTTGATACTGTGTGGAACAAAACTGTGAATCTAGATGTTCTGCTTCTGATACCACAAACCCTCCTCCCAGAAGGTAACAAGGAAAACAGATCATGAAGAGGATATGTAATGTCCCAGACAATACTGCAGACCTTGGTCAATCATCGCTTATATACTATGTCCTAGATAGGAAGGAAGTGAACGGCCAGTCACCTTCTCTCCCATCCTCACCACTCTCTGCACTACCTTCCTGTCTGAAGCAGTAATGCTTCCAAACCAGTCAGTGATGCCATATGCTCTAGATCGTCCTTCTATACAAAGTGTTAAGGACAGAGGAAGGAAGGTGTACTTTTTTTGTGTGACACAGAAAATGCAGGCACTGCTCTGCCCACTTCACCAGTGTCTCAATGTTAAATGACCAAGCCAGCCTATTCATTAGCTGCACACCCAGAAACTTGAATGAACATCTAGTTTGGAAATTCAAGAGGACTCTGCACTGGAATAGATTTAATGTGTCACATACTAAACTTCATGCTCCCTTATACCCATTCAATGCTCCTCTTTTTAGATACATTTTGGACTTTTGTTTTTATGCTTGTTTTATATTTTTAACTTTTTTATAATTATTCTGATGTATTTTCTATACTTTTTAGTTAGCTGTATCCCATCCTTCTTGTACTGGTCTCTGATCATAGTAAATATTTGATTTGCAATAAGCAATAATCAACTGCTTTTATGGGTACCTTCATCCCATCTGTAGAACTGCTGATTCAGTTCTACATAAGAATTATTGAGTCTGTCATCTGCACCTCTATAATGGTCTGGTTTGGCTCTGCAACCCAACAAGGCAGATGCAGACTTCAACAGGCAATTAGGACTGCAGAAAAAAATGATTGCTACCAACCTGCCTTCCATTGAGGACCTATATCCTGCCTGAGTCAAAAAGAGGGCTTGAAAATATCTACAGACCCCTCACATCCTGGACATAAATTGTTTCAACTTCTACCCTCAAAATGACGCTATAGGGCACTGCACACCAGAACAACTAGACACAAGGACAGTTTTTTTCCCAAATGCAATCGCTCTGCTAAACAACTAATTTCCATAAAACTGTCAAACTATTTAGTAAGACTGTAATTTCTATTATTCTTCTCATCCTTCCTATTACCTATCTCTTCCCACTTATGATTATAACCATGTTGCTTGTATCTTTACAATTTATATTGTTTTATTTGTTTCCTAGTATGACTTGATTGCTTATTAGTAACCTATGACTGTCACTAAGTGTTGTATCTTATGATTCTTGATGAATGTATTTTATTTTTTATTTTTATGTACACTGAGAGCTTATGCACTAAAGACAGATTCCTTCTGTGTCCAATCACACTTGGTCAATAAAGAATTCTATTCTATTCTATTCTATTCTATTCTATTCTATTCTATTCTAT